GGCAGCGCGGGGCGGCCGAGGCCGCTGGGGTCGGAGCCGAGCGAACGCCGCCGCCAACAGCAGCTCCCCTTTAATTCGCACGCACCTGAAAGCGAGGATGAAACACTGTGGAGTTTGGTGACCCCTGGTGGCGTGCTGCGCTCGTGACCCCATATCCAGCCTTCAGATTGCCATGGAGACCGAAATAAACGGGAATGCCTGTAAATGCGTCATAATAAAGGGTCAGACATTCAATATTTGAGAATGGGAAGGTTTTTGAACTGTATGATAAGTGGTAGATAATTGGAGATAGAACTCTCGTTAATTTCTTATTCTTCTTCAATCACCTATTTTCATCAGGCATTCACGAGTGTTTGGCAAAATTTCAAATTATAATCAAATATATATAATGTAATGTTTGTGAATAGTTGTAATGGTAAAACACCTCGTGCATTAGCCACCGAGGTACTCTGATTTTTGTGAGATTGAAAGCTCGCGTTGTCCGTAGCACGACTCAGGGAGGTGGTGGGCGCTGGCCCAGGGGACAGCACGAGAGGCAGGCGTCACCGCAGCGCACTCCGAGGCGGCATTGGATCACAGGCACCAGAACGAGGGATTCGGTCGCCCACACACCTCGCTCGCTCTCGCCCTTCACACATAACACCTTTTCGTTTCTGCAGTTCTCCCTGGTGATATATCAGAGGCGCAACGCATGCAATGACGTATCAGAGACCTGGTTGGCTGTTTTAGAATATTAATATACGTAGGCTATAAATGAATTATGTATGGTGATCCTAATATTATGAGATGCTTGGTGATCTATGTTAGTCTCATCAGATGCAATCACTAGATGAATGCAAGTCAAAACCCATGCATAAGGGGATTCGAAATCTCTGCCTTGTTTGGCGAACACTGCTTGCTTCCTATGCATACGTTGCCTGGGTGGCCTATAGAGTTATGGATTATATGTTAACTCAAGTGACACAACCTTCTACTGCGGTATCCACTCGGTCATGACTTACCAGGGTGGGTCCGATGTATTTTCAGGAATGTTTTCGTGCATGAAGATGATACGTAAAGCAATGGTAAATCACCGCGACGATTAGAAGTTTTTCATATACATTTACTTGAACGTAGGTAGCACTGAAATACCAATATACTTTTACAAATACTTACAAATTACCAATATACTTTTCATGTTACTTTTAAAACTATATGGCAGCGGGACTTCGAAAGACACTTTAAGAGGACTAAGTAAATCGGGAAGCAATATTTAGAACAATCCATAATATCAGTAAGAGATTACGGGAATTTTGAAGTAAGTGTAATTTTTTTTTCTTTTCTTTAATGTTATCTCTTTGCAAGTTACGTTCTTAGAATCAGAAAACTGAGAGTACTGAACATAATAGGGTTAACGTTCTTATACGTTGAGCCAGCAAATTTCTTCCACAAAAGTGGCTAAATGATACTGAAAAGGTGCTCAAGTGACAGAGTTGAATCACATTTCTTTGCGGGGTATTGATTTCAGGGCAATTTTCCTTGATATATCTGTAGTGAGCGGGAGCTCTTTTTGCAATTTCCTTGTCTGGAAGAGCCCGTTCAATAATGTATTTTCCGTAAGTGATCCTCCAAACGTATATTTTTAGAAAATTTGGCGTATTTGTATGGAAACTCAAATCTGGAAGTCCTACTTAATTTCGAGTTAGAAATCATTTTTCTGTAATTCTTCGAACATCCTTTTTTAATTGTCCTATAATGGAATTCAGAGCAGAAATGTATGTGCGAAAAGTATTGAACGGAAATAAATAAATGTATGAAATCGTTAGCTATCAATCGCTTGTATGGGTATGTAACTCTTGTTTTAGTCAAGATCCACTAAACTATTTCTGTAACAATACTGGCACTTATGTTTGTAAAACTTTAACTGAAGGTTCAACAAAAACCGAGACACGGAACCTTAAATGGCTCCCGGAATGGAACACTTGTTTCGTGCGGACACCTAATAACCGCCATAAACGGACAAATTGTAACGAACCCATTTAGGAAGAGTGACGTATTTGAGCGGACGCGCAGCAATAACACCGCCGTCGTGTTCGTGACTTTCGCTCAGCTGTTCCCCGCGCTCCAGCGAAACGTACTGTTTGGATTACGTTAATGCGTGACACGTTGTTTGCCTGGAAGTTTCCGCGTGCATTTCTATAAATAACCGGTGCGCTCGCCGCTAAAGCGCGTCCCGGTTCGGGCAAAAGGCCGGCGCGG